ATTCAAATGTAGCAAACTAATAGATTTTATGCAGAGCTGCGCTTAGCCTGGATGTTTTACGTCGCATTGAGGCATTTGGGGATTAGTTTGGAAATACTAAGTAATAATGGAGGACCCTCATGATAGCTAGTATAAAAACTGACCTTCCAGCCTTACAAAAACGATTTTGGGAAGAATGTAATCAGCTCTGGTATAGATGAAAATGAGGACCTTAGCATAAGGACAAGATTAGTGTATTTGTAGTGAACATGGCTTATTAAACAGTCAGGCTGTGTGGATTTGATTTTGTGGAGTCTTCATGAGGATTTGAAATAGATCTTCATGAGCTTCATGAAAATATATATATTTAAAAGTCAGTTCTATAAGGGGTATGGAGTGGAATAGGGGAAGTAACCTTTCCTTTAAGCGTTGTTTTTCCTGAGTGAGAGGGAGCTGACAGTCCTTTATCAAAGGCTGGAGAGCAGGAATCATAGCTTGTTAATAAAGCTGAAAAGTTAGTGGTGTTATGTTTAAAAGTGTTAGTAGATCAATAATCAAAGTGTTTGAGAATTGCTTGGTACATCTGCTTTTATCTGGAGTTCCATTTTAAGTGTATTTCTTCATCAAAGGCCTCCTGGTGTACTGTAGAAGCACTCTGAGCTTCTGCTGAGCACTCTTAATGTAATGGTCCCAGACTCAGCTTAGCAGTAAACTTGACAGTTGTTACTGAAATTCTGTGGCAAGGAAAGTGGGAAACACTACCAGAGTTGAGCAGTTTGGAATTTAGTAGATGAGAAGGTTCTAGGCATCATCATACTTTGCTTTCCAGATAAATTTGGAAATAAGTAGCATTGCATCCTGAGTGCAGTTGAAGATCTTTTGAATCCACTTCCTGAGGAAAGGCAATTTTAGATGGCTTGTTACATCAAACTTAAAGTATTTTTTCCCCTTATTTCCTTAAATTTAGCAGATATGCAAAGTACGCTTACATATTGGTCAACTTTACATAGGAGGAAAAAAATGCAGAAAAATAGGCTGCATCAGCATACATACATATTTAAATCCATTGACATTAAAGCAGTGCAAAGTTGAAGCAAATCAGCTGTGCATAAATTGATTCCTTTTCTTCCTAAATGATTTCTGTGTTTCTGACAG